CATCATTATAGAATCAACCAAAAGATCTCGCTGCCTAAAAATCCCCTATTCATTCCTCCCTCACCCCAACCCCTTGGCAACCACTGATCCTTTCACTGTCTCTATAGTTTTGCTCTTCTAGAATATCATAGAGTCAGAAATTTGAAAATATACAGTTTCTTTTGGCTTTTGGATGCAATCAGTTCAGTCGCTCAGTTGTGTCCGACTCTTTGTGATCCCATGGACTGCAGCATGCCAGGCCTCCCTGTCCATCACCAGCTCCCGGAGTTTACTCAAACTCATGTCCATTGAGTGTAATAGAGAATTCAAAATTCTCAGTGACTCCCTTTGAAAGTTCAGAGAGCCCCAGGGCACCCTGCTTAGGTGGTGCTGAAGGGGTGTGGTTAGTTCTCAGCCAAGTGGCTGTTAGAATGGCCCCTCTATCAACTGGAGCCTCCTCCCCTACCGCCCTTCAGTCTCCTGGCTGTTTGTCAAGCAAGCTGAGCTCAGTCCAGCTTCCCCCGTCTTTGAACTTCAAAGGTGCCTCTGCCAGCTGCGTTCTCCCCAGCTACTCACAGGACCCAAAACTCCCTCCCTTTCAGGCCTAGACTTCAGTGTCTACTTTGTAATAACTCATGGAGCGGAACTCCCATTTTGTGTACTTTTCTGCAGGTAAATTTTGCTGCAATAAAAGATTCTGTTAAATAGAGAGCAGATTTGTGTTTGCCGAGGAGGAGGAGGTGGGAGAGGGATGGACTGGGAGTTTGAGATTGGTAGATGCAAACTATTGGGCTTCCCTGGTGCTCAGACGGAAAGGAATCCGCCTTCAGTGCAGGAGACCGGGGTACAATCCCTGGGCTGGGAAGATCCCCTGGAGAAGGGAATGGCTACCCACTCCAGTATTCTTGCTTGGAAAATTCCATGGACAGAGGAGCCTGGTGGGCTACAAACCATGGGGGTCACAAAGAGTCGGACACCACTGAGCGACTAAAACAACAAACACCACACAGGACATTACTGCGACAGCTGGTGAATCTGGGGACGCTCTCGAGACAATAGTATCACAACGACGTGAACTTCTGACGCTGACCACTGTTCTCTAGTTAGGGAAGAGAATGTCCCCTTTGGAAGGGCACCCTGACGTTCTTAGTGGCAAAGGAGGGAGGGGGAACAAGAAAGTGGGGAGGGGAGCTCGCCCACAGACTTGGATAATCTAGGAAGAATATACGCAAATCTGAAAAGGTCCGGTAGTGTATGGCTCCACCTATAGAACGTTCTCGACAAGATGAAATCAGAGAGATGGAGAGCGGATTAGTGGCTGGCGGGGGTTAGGGGTTAGGGTGTGACGACAAAGCAGCGAGAAGGAGACCGATGTGGTGATGGAGCACCTGTGGAGCTGGTACCTTCACCAACCTGTACCCGAGATCCAGCACCGCGGCGACCAGGTCCCAACACAGCGGCAGGTCAATTTCCTGGCTTTGTGGTTATGCAAGAGGTGACACTAGGAGAATCTGAGTGAAGGGGACCCAGGGCTTTTATAATTTTTATAGCTTCCTATTGAGCTGCAATTATCTCAAAATAAACAGTTTAAAAAGTAAGAGAAATAGCATCCCACTTCTGTCACCCTGTCCCCCCCCCACCCACCCTTTGCTTTGGGTCATCTGTAGCAGCCAGCCGGGACACAGACTTACGATAACCAGCCTGGGCAGCCACGGGGGACCCGGTTTAACCAGTAGGCAAGCTGGTTCACTCATTCCACAAACATCTGAGAAGCTGCTCGGGCAGGGTGATGGCGCTGCTCCTGCGGCGCCAGGCTCTGCCCTCACTTCATCCTCAAGACACCTGCCTGGTTTGCCGTCAGCACCCCTCTCCCAGAAGAGGGGCTGTTATGAATGATGGGGTCCTCCACCCATATGCCCTGGGACCCCCTTTCCTGTTTGTGGGCTCCCCCCTCTGACCTCCAGCACCTGCCAGGGTGAGATCATGGTGCCTGGAAATGTGCTTCCCCAGGTTCCCCTTGACCAGCATGGGCAGAAAGCCCACTCCTTCCCCAGGGGAGGGACAACCCTAGAGCCTCCCCCCCACACCCCGGGGGCCAGGCTGAGCCTGGGACCTGGCCTGAAACCTTGCCTCTGCAATTCCCCTGCCTGCTTCTGCTGGAAAGACATCCTTAAGAAACCAAGTCTCATCTCAGGCTCTGCCTCTGGGGAACCCGACCTGGCACAGAGTGCCAGAATGGTTGAGTGACTTGGCCGCAGCCACACAGCCAAGAGCGTGAGCCGGAAGTTCTACCCCCTGAGTCTGATGCCGGGACCTGAACGTCTGACTGTCAGGCTGCCAGCCTCTGAAAAGGGGCTCATTCTCCCTTCAGGAGCCCGCTCAGACCGTCTCCCTCTGCCAGGCTCTGAGCTGAGAGAGGGCTAATGGGATCCTCAAGTCCCTCATCAGACACTCTCAGCCGACTTAGGAAGGCAGACCCAACCTCACCCATGTGATTAGTCACCAGTTCAACCGTCCAGCATGGAGGACCCACTGTGTGCCTGAACCGGGCTGTATGCTGGGAGGGAGATGAGCTAGACATGGTCCTGCCCTCCATGAGCCCCGGGTCCCAAGGAGAGGCCCACACAGCATGTGTCACAATGTCATGCAGGACCCAGTGAGGACATGAGGGGGCATGCGTCAGTCTACCCGGTGACTCAGGGGAGACTCCCAGGAAGGTGACGTGGAGCCGGGGCTGGGGAAAGAGAGGAGTGGGGCGGGGGAGGAGGGTGGAGACGGACAGTCTGGACAGGGGCAGCTGCATAGTGCCCATGACTCCTGGTTCGGGCTGAAAGGAGGACGCATCATAGCAGGCAGCGTGCCACTAGCAGCGTGGGGGTCATGCCCATGGAGGTGGCCCCATCACACCCTCCGTGGGACGCCCTTAGTGTGGGGTGCAGGCTTCACTACGTTGGGACCTTGGGCCACGTTTGTCACCCTGTCTCATCGCTAAGAGGGAAACTACACACCTGGTGGGTGGTCCTGGAGGTCAGAATTACCCGGCGCTGAGTGAGCCCAGCTGGGATCCATGGGGCTGCCAGGTGGGCTCAGTTCAGGCAGGTTGAGCAGAGGTCCGGGGCGGGGGGGTACCAATCGCATCACTGTAGATTCAGAGAGGCTCGAGGCAGAGAACAGGCGCCCTCTCTGAACCCCTACAAAGCAGGGACTGGATGGACTAGCAGCGGTGCTGTCCACGGGGGCTGTTATCATTGTAGGGCCCACGCTAAGACCTGCCGGAGGGGTCCTACGTTTCCTATATTTGTTTTAACTTAGAAAAAATCCTGTCGACTCTTCAGAGTCTGGTGAGCGTCATGGGATATGATAACTTAGAGAAGAAAAAAAAAAAGAGTTTTCTTTCTTGATGAACTGTCCACTTCTTTCCCAGCATGGAACTTTTGGTCTTAGCTGTCAGGAACCTCGGTGCTCTGGTTAGCACTCAGTTAATGCTAAGCTTCACCCAGCCGTATCGGTTACCAACCTCCTGGCTATGAGCGGCAGAAATTGACTTGGGTATTTTAAGCAAAAAAGGGAATTTGGTGGAAGGATATCAGATCTGCCAAGACCATGCAAGGGGATGGAGAGAGACCATCCTTCTCAACACCCCCAGTGGGAGTGGGGTGCTGCCCGCAGTCCAACCAGCAGAGAGTTGCTGAGTGGGAGGAGCCGGGGGTGGAGCAGTGGTGATGGGAGACATTGATGGGCAAAGACCACAGGTGTTCCCTATATGTGGGTATTTTAGGGTAACCACCTCCTCCCACTTTGCTGGAGTTTTTCTCAGTGTCTTGCTTTGGGTTCTCCCAAACCCAAAGATTTGAACGCAGACATGGGGCAGGTGGTTTATCTGAGAGGTGACTCCCAGGAAACACTGGCAGAGGGAGATGAGGCAGGACTGGGAAGGAACCGACAGAGTGGGGCATCTGGTCTACCCTGATGGGGGCTGAGTGAGCCCTCAAGGGGGAGTCAGCTGTTCGCTGGAAGCAACTTTCTACAGAGGTCAGGGATTGGGGACAGTGCCACGTCTGCTACACCAGGCTTGAGGTGTACACAGGCAAACGTTTTCACCCCTCCCCATATTCCATGTATTAGTAAGTCTGCTCTGTCTCGCTCTGTTGCGTAATACAAGTTATGAGCTCCACAAACCTTTCTTTCCCCTTTGTGCCAATTGCTGTGCTGCTGGTGGAAAGAACATCAGCAAGATCAGGAGGAGGAAATGCTTTTGTCCTTGACAGCTTCAGAGAATGAGATTCTATTCCACCCCAGGAAACCATCCTTGCAGTTGTTAGGATTTTTACCTGGTTGAATGGAAATCAAAGTCTTAGAGAACCACATAAAACAAAGGCACCGCTTAATGAATGATTTGCCAGATGCATCCCTTGGAACCACCAGCGGGACAAGGAGTAGAACTTGCCAGCCTCCCTGGGCTCTGCCTTGTGTCTGCTCCAGTGACAACCCCGCTCCCCACAGATGGACCGATTCTCCCGACTCGGGATTCACCTCCAGTGAGATGCACTGGTTCTCATATGTTCATCATCACTTCCTATGTCCTGTATATTTCTTTAACCAACACATTTCCCATTGCATATCTGTTTCCTGGGGCTGCTGTAATAGATAGTCACAAACTTATGTGGCTTGGTTCTCTTACAGGTCAAATGTCTGAAACAGCCCCACTGGACTAAAATCAACTAAAGTCTGCAGGGTGGCATTCCTTCTGGAGGCACTAGGGGAGAATACGTTCCTTTATCTTTTCCAGCTTCTAGAAGCCATGGCATTCCTTGGCTCATGACCCCTTCCTCCATCCTCACAAACTGCGATGCTGTATGGATCTATCTCATGCCACTTCACCCTGTTGTCAACCCCCTGCCTCCTATAAGGGCTTTGTCGTAACACTGGACTCACCTGGCCCATCCGGGATCATCTCCCATCCCCAGGTCTTTAACCCGGTCACACCTGCAGAGGTCCTTTTGCCAGGTCAGGTCACATATTTACAGGCTCTGAGGACTAGCATGTGAATACCTGTAGTCAAAGCTATTGGTTTTCCAGTGGTCATGTATGGATGTTGACAGCTGGACCATAAAGAAGGCTGAGTGCCTAAGAACTGATGCTTTCGAACTGTGGTGCTGGAGAAGACTCTGAAGAGTCCCTTGGACAGCAAGATCAAACCAGTCTATCCTACAGGAAATCAACTCTGAATATCCATTGGAAGGACTGATGCTGAAGCTGAAGCTCCAATACTTTGGCCACCTGATGTGAAGAACCGACTCATTGGAAAAGACCCTGATGCTGTGAAAGATTGAAGGCAGGAGGAGAAGGGGATGACAGAGGACAAGATGGTTGGATGGCATCATTGACTCAACAGATATGAGTTTGAGCAAACTCCAGGAGATAGCAAAGGACAGGGAAGCCTGGCATGCTGCAGTCTGTGGTGTAGTAAAGAGTCAGATACGATTAGGTGACAACAACCACCGCTATTCAGGGGCCGCTATTCAGTCCACTGTCCACCCATCTTTTTCTCTCCACCCCTTACATTATATCTGTTGAGACACCCAGGCCATCTGACCTGTAGCGGTCCCTACAGGCTGGACTTTGCTGGCTGTGTACTGCAAACCCAGTGCTGCTGCATGGCCTCTGTCCTGGGAATTTCCTGCAAACTGGCAGTGGGACCCAGGGGCTGGATTGGGCTCAGGCCCCATCCCCTTGGTCTTGTGGTCTTGCATCAGGACCACAGACCCCATCATGGCCGGTGGTCTCTTTTTGTGATATCAGTATCATTGGTGTTCAATGCCCAGATCCACTCACTCACCACTTCATTGTAGCACTGTGATGTTCCAGTCCTGTCTCCTGCAGTTTACTGTGTTAGTTGGAATACTTTCCTCAAGAGATGCTCTCTGTTACATATAGTATGTCACCAGTGGAACAGGGAGGCAGAATGACTGCCCGACTCTTTCTCTTTACTACTTTTCCGACTAACAACCCAGTTCATATCATCCTCTGAAGGAGATCCACTAGTTTTTTAAAAACATGTCCTATCTCTCTATTAGATTTTTTTCATTTTAAACAAAGGGTTTGAGAGCCCGTATCCTATTTAAATTAACTATTTTAAAAATGAATACTTATGTTTATTTGGCTGCACCTGGCCTTAGTTGCAGCATGTGGGATCTTCAGTCTTTGCTGTGGCATGCAGGATCTCTAGCTGCAGTGTGTGGGATCTAGTTCCCTGACGAGGGATTGAGCCCAGGCCCTCTCCATCGGGAGCACAGAGTCAGCCACAGGACCACCAATGTGCGTGCATGTTAAGTCGCTTCAGTCGTGTCCAACTCTTTGTGACCCCGTGGGCTGTAGCCTTCCAGGCTCCTCTGTCCATGGGGATTCTCCAGGCAAGAATACTGGAGTGGGTTGCTGTGCACTTCTCTAGTGGATCTTCCCGAAACAGAGATCGAACCCACCTCTCTTATGTCTCCTGCACTGGCCGGCAGGTTCTTTACCACTAGCGCCTCCTGGAAGGCCCTGGGCCACCAGGAAAGCTCCTAAATTAACACTTCTTAACTGAAGTTTCAGAACCTGGGGGGACAACCACACCTGGTCAGTAAGCCCTGACCTCCTGCTCCCTCTACAGCTGCCCCCACCCCCCAGGCTTCAGGAACCCCCAAGCTCCTTGACTGTTCCTGCCTACTGTCTCCCCGCAGTCCCCGGGGGAGAGGAACCTTCATGAGGCTCCCAAAGGCATCTCTGCTCTTGCAGCTCAGAGGCCCCCTCCCGTCTTCTCCCTGGGACTCCAGGGAGCCTGTTGCTCTGAGCAACCATGAGCTCCTTCTTACCATCTCTGGCCACGTCAGTGCCTGTAGCCTCCCCGCCTCAGGGGGACTCCCTTCTCTTTCTAGAAGCCCCCTATCTCCCTTCCACTCTCTCCTAGGATGCTCTGCCCCTGCCCTTGCCCCAGCTCTGCTCAGGGGAAGCAGGCTCCTGGTGACCTGTTTTGGGTGGCTTCCCAAGCATCCTATGAGTGATGGTGTGTAGGTCTGGCCACCTCTGTCGGCCCTGACACATCTGTTGGATAAGAACAGCTAGTCCTTCCAGAACACCTGCACCAGGTACCATCCTAGGCACTTAACTAGTCTCACCTCACAGCTAGACTAAGAGGCTGGCGCTGTCATCACACATTTTCTAGCAGATGAGACTTTGGCTCAGGGCCACCTTGGGAGTGGGAGGAGGAGCCAGGGCGCCCCCACTGACCGCTGGGCTCCTGAGTCGGCTGGAAAACAACGCCGCTAAGACCAATCCCTCAGCATCCTTTGGGGAAGGAGCCGGAACCTGCATAAGGAGTCAACAATGTCCGAGGGGACTCACTGCCTGTAGTTCTGGAGCTCTGGCCAGCATCAGAGTCACAGGAAGGTGTGATTAAGCACAGACCACCGGGCCGACCCCAGAGTCCCTCACTCAGTAGGGCTGGGGAGGGCTGAGAACCTGCATTTCTAACGAGTTCTCCTCCAGGGATGCTGATGCTGCCAGTCCCCCTTTGGAAATGGCCTGCCTCCTGGGGGAGAACAGGGGCCAGGCTCCCTCCTGGGGCACATGGTGTGGTGGTTCCAACACAAACTCTCCTATCCAGGTGGTCCTGTGAAAACGTGTGTGTGTGTGCGTTCTCAGTCGCCCAGCTGTGTCTGACCCTTTGTGACCCCATGGACTGTAGCCCACCAGGCTCCTCTGTCCATGGGATTTCTCAGGCAAGCATACTAGAGTGGGTTGCCATTTCTTTCTCCAGGGGATCTTCCCAACCCAGGGATCAGACTCACATCTCCTGCATTGGCAGGCAGATTCTTTACCACCGAGCCATCTGAGAAGCCCCAATGATAACTTTATGATCATGTTAAAAAAAAAAAACACAACCCTTCATCTGTTAGAGATGCATTCTGAAGCATTTACAGGTATTGTGTATGTCTGGGATTCACTTTGAAATACTCCAGACTCTACCTCTGCAAAAGGTTGAAGGTCTAGATGAAGCAAGGGTAGCTGGCTGATGAGTCCAGAGAGGTTCATTCTACCAGTTTCTACACCTTGTTTATATGTGAAAGTGTTATTCATTCAAGTGTTATCAACCTTGTTGATTTCAGGTAGGGGAAAAGCTCTGGCTCCCCACTTACAACTGACCTTGAGCTAGAAACTTGCAATATCTGAGCCTCAATTCTTTTTGCTGTCAGCGCAGCTGATGGCATCTTTCCAACTGGGTTGTCGAGGACACCATGGATAAGAGCTGTTAGTACTCACCTTGGCACGTGACCCATGAGACTTTAACTCCCCCGACGTACTCTCACACATTCTCCAGCCTGACTTGGCCAGGGCAGCACCTAATGGGCAGGGGACTCACCCATCTCAAGACACCTGTTCAACAAGTTCCTGGGATGAGTGTGGAACTTTCCAGAAGCCTGCCCATCTGCGAGCAGGCAGTATGGGTGTGGAATGTGGGGTGGGGAGGCTGTGGGTGTGTTCTCGGGATGTGAGGCTTCTGGCAGTCACAGGCAGGTTGGCCGCTTGGACGCCTCACTATTGCGCCCACAATACAGCTTGGACTTATCGGGGGAGGGGGTGCAGGGGGGTTCTTTATGGAGCCACCGGGTCAGAGGCAGGAGATCCCTGGTTTCTAGTTCAGAGGTGGTTCCGGTGGATTCCATGGGGCCTTCAGCTTGCCAAACCATCTCCAGTCAAGCAGTGCTGTGGCTGGTGTTCTGTATTGTTTTCGTTTTGATTACAAAAAAACAAAACCCCGTTTGTGCTAGCCCAGGGCAAAGTTGGGGCAGCCAGTGACTGGGAAACCTGGAGCTGTTTCCTTGAACCTCAATGCAGGGAGGGCGGCCAAGTCTCATATCGGTTGGCACCAACTGAAAACCTGTCAAGAACGTGCTGGCTTCGCTCTTTTTCCCTCTCCTCTTCCTGGTCCTCCTCTTTCTCCGAGTCTCCCTCCCGTCCCTCTTCCTCATGGACAGGACAGGAAGTGGCCTCCACAAGCACCAAGTCCTACCCCTCTGTCTGCACCACCAGGGCTGGCTGAAGTTTGCCCAGCATTTTCTGTGTGCCAGGTCTTGGGCAAAAGACTTCGCCACCTGGATTTCATGTAATCCCACAGCAGCCATAGAAGAAGGTACTGCTTTCATCCTTCCAACTTCCAGAGATGAAACTGAAGCACTGAGAAGCTCAAGAAGCTACCTGAGACCATGTTGTACATTCAAGAGCATCTTCTTGGGGGGAGGAATCTGATTGGCTCAGCTTGAGTCAGGTGACCTGTTTCTCCACCAACCAGCTGTGGTGAAGGAGGCGGGTCTCAGAGCATCAAGGTGGCAAACTCCAGGCCCAGCATTAGAGAACTATTCTCAGATGGGGTGGTGAGCCTGGCACCTGATCCCACTCTGTTCCTTTCCTCCTTCCTGAGTAGCCTCCCATGGACACAAATCCCTGCAGCATTTGTCTTCCCACTGGTGAAAGTCAGTGGACTGGAGTCAGATGGGGCTGGAGTTCAAATCCTGCCTCCGCCATTTTCCTGATGGTCTACTCTTGGGCAAATAACTTCACCTCCCTGAGCCTGTGTTGTCCTCTGTAAAAGGGGATCATAAGACTGGCTTCTCAGAGACATGTGTGTGCTCAGTCACTTCAGGTGTGTCCAACTCTTTGCGACCCCAAAGGACTATAGCTCGCCAGGCGCCTCTGTCCATGGGGATTTTCAGGCAAGAATACTGGAGTGGGTTGCGATTTCCTCCTCAAGGAGGAAATCAACTTCTTGACCCAGGAGTTGAACCTGTGTCTCCTCTGTGTCCTGCATTGACAGACGGATTTTCTTACACTGAGCTACCTAGGAAGCCCTTCTCAGAGACATGGGGAGAAGCAAATGAGACCATAACCCAGGTAAACCCTCCAGTGGCTTCCCATTGTTTTCACGGTCAAGTTGAAACTGAAGGTGTAAACTGGCTGGCACCTGCTTAACATCCTTAAGATACCCTGTATCTTCCCAGTGCCAGAGTACCCCTAATCCAGCTGTACCTCTGCCTGAATGCCTTCCCTCTTCTTCCCAATAGATGTTAGCAGACCTGTCCCCAAGTGGGCTGAACTGTGTCCCCCTAAAAGTTGTGTCCTCATTCTGACTCCATGACCTGTGTATGTGGCCTTATTAGGAAACAGAGTCTTTGCTCATGTACTTCAGTTAAGGATCTTGAGATGAGATGACCCTGGGTTTAGCACAGGTCCTAAATTCAACCGTGTGTCCTTACAAACCAAAGGAGAGTGAAATTTAGGACGCACAGACACAGTGGGAAGGCCATGGGATGATGGAGGCAGAGAATGCAGGGATCCATCTAGAAGC